TCAGTTTAAAAAGCCCTTTGGGCACAGTATCTGCTCTTTCACACTAGTGGAAAACTACAGGACGTCTAAAGACCTCAGTATCTAACCTTCCTCCACATTGAAGAATGCTGAGGCAGTAAAACAAAATCCAATCCTTGTAATTCCTTTGAACCAAACGTTGACATATCTAATACAGAAATACTTAACTGAGGCATCAGCTATTCCCGATAATTTCTATGCTATCAGATCCTTATATTAGTTATCACCCTCAGTTAAGTTTGGAACTGCTTTTTAAGCTTTTCTATTTAAGCTCGTAGCTTTAAAATGCAAGTCTGCGTTCTCAGTTCACTGCTGCTTATTGAGCATTTGGGGCATAAAGAAGCAGCAGCATTGTCTCCTAATTTGAGTTCAGAACGGGGAAAAAAACCCTCAAGATTCACTAAAGGTGCTCACAGAGAGGAAATCAGCAAGGCAGGATGACCTTTCCGCTTATCAATTTCTTCTTTCGTAAATGGAGTTGAAAGTCTTACCTTATTTACCTCAGATGCTGTGTATAAACCAGCTGGTTGGTAGGGGGTTTCAAGAGGAAAAATACTGCCAAATGCCAAACAAAATAATTCATGAAATATAACTATCTGGGTGACACATTTGTGAGAGCTTTAAGTGACACACTGCCTCTGAACTCATTCGCAGAGGACCTGAGGGGGTGCATTTCCTATTCAAATGCTGTGGTTTTCAAATTATTATTATTATTATTATTATATTTGGCAAATAGATGTTTCTGTTTAAACTCCGGATAGATACAAACCACAGTTTCAGCCATGTTTATGGGAAAATCGTGTCAGTGGCCTCAAGAAATTTCTCAAGAAATATGTCCTCCATTTCATGGGAAAAGGGCAAGTGCAGCATGCTCTTCACAGTGCTGGGGACATGGATAACTGTGCAAGGTCTCATTTTCATCTTTCATTTTCACCTTCCTTAAAAGCTGAACCAAAAGAAAAAAGAAAAATCCTCCAATGTTTTTAACTGATTGATTTTTTTCCGATCCAACTGACATTTTTCATTAAAAATGCTTTTTGGCACAACTGTATCTTTCAATTGGAAAACTTTCCACATGAAAAATTTCAGACAACTGCAACATAACAAATGCAGCAACAGTATCTTTCATGTCTAATACAGGGCAATTCATGACTAACAATATAGAGAGATTGGTTTTCTAACAACAGGGTATTCGATTTTATATAATGTTCATGATTAAGCTGTGCGCTTGAGAACATCCGACTTTCAGCACTTCAAGTTGAGGCAATTCAGTCTGCCTTCTCCCTGAACACAGTACTCGAAGAAATGACACACTTTAGGAGATAAGGAACAACCTCTTCTGCTGATCTGCCAGGAACAGCCAAAAAGGGCCATTACAAATCAGGGCCAAGTTTGTAGTAGATTTTAGCTCTACTAACACTGGACCTTTTGTGGCAGCTAAAAAATATGATCCAAGAAATGTACCCTTGACTTGAATCTAAATATGTGACAATATGTCCAGGCTGTGTACATATGATGGAAAAAAGTGCAGTATAGCACAGCCCTGAGCAACTTCTCTAACTCCAAGTTTTCTAAGCCACCTCCACCACATCCATACCACATAGTCTGTGGACTCACTGAAGATCTTCCCCCTAACATTGCTGTATTTTGGATAGGACATTGAGTGACCCTCCTTCTCAAGGTTGTCATTTCAAGGTAATTAATTTCCAAAATGAATGGATTTAGATATAATTTCTCTTTTTTTTCTGCCCTGTTCTTAAAACAAAGTAATCCTATGGGCCTAGGTGTTCTTATTTCCCACCAGAATCACTGCAGTGGATTAGACTCTAGTTGCCTTCTACAGTATATGGTATTTGAGCAAATCCCATCTAAATGCTTTTCTTGCTTTAATAGTAGCTTTGGCAATTGGATTTGGCTTCTCTGCTCTGCTCCTTAGTATGCAAAAATACAACTTTGAGGAACAAATCTTCCCTGTTTTTTTATCATTCAGTAATGTTAATGACATAATGTAGAACTGCTTGTTCAAAGAGTAAGAGTTTATTCTGCAGAAAGCTGTTTAATTATGTTAAAGTCAACATACTTCTAATGCCATGCTTAAAAGCTAGTTGCTTCTTCAATTTTCAAGCACATCTTTATACATACTGCAGGCCATGTATTATTCCATTTATTCTATTTACTACAAACACTGCCTATACGTCACATAGTATTTACTGATTACTAAAATTACCTGTTAGAAGAGACTCAAAATGCTTTCATTGTATCTTTATGAATATTTCTTCTATTTCTTTTTTTTTCTTTTCCCTTTAACATTCTCCTTACACTATCTTTGTCTTACCAGCTGTCAATCTCATTGCAAACTCCTTAAGTGTAGTGGTCTCTGCTACTGGTGTGAAAAAACCAAGCCTCTTCCCAGCTCCCCTAGTGTGGTAGCCCTTTAGCACAAGCCCTTTTCATGCCTGCTCCCTGTTGCCCTTACTTCAGCCTCTGTGATTTAGAAGTCTTTTTCTAAGTGGCACTGCTATTTTAGTGTAATCATTGGTTTAATCCTTTTAAAAGTCTGCGATCTCTTCACTGGATAAGTATTGAACATCTCCTTGAAAAAGTAAGATTTTTAGATCCACTTTTACTCGCTAATCTATAGCTGTTAAAGACATTCACTGTTGCTTTTTTTAGAGTTACACTTTTCTCAGACCAGAAATTGATGGAGGTGACCTATTCTATTTTTACTTTTCTTGAGCTTTTTCTGATAATGTCAGCTCTCCTTGCTATGCCATGAGGTTGCATAGCCCTGTCACTCCAGTAAAGATTAATCCCTCTTATTTTGTGTGTCCCAGACCATTAGATTTTTAACTAATACAAACCTACACAGTTCCACTGAAGATGAGTCTATGAACCAAAAGGCGTCTGCATGATTATTGTCAAAAAGACTTTGGGTGAGTAAAAAGAAAAAGTTAATATATCTACATGATCGGCAGGTACTTCAACAATCTGAAGCTGACATCTGAATTTCTGAGCAGAAATACACATTTACTCCAGAAATGCATTCATCCATTATGACCTCTCTTACACCCCCCCAGCAAACAAAGCTTAAAAGTAACTACAATCAAGAAATGTCAATTTGTAAGGTAAATAAATAACAAAACCTTCAATTGTCACAGAAGTACTGGAAAAGCACTAAAAATGCTTAGACTTTCATGACTTCATTGCTCATTGAAATATTTGAGACAAAATGTCAAAGATAGAAGTAAACTGCCATTTGAAATATCAAATGCAAACCTCCTGGAATTGGTTTTTAACATATAAAAGATGGTGGTTTTTTTTAAATCTTCTTGGCTGCATTTAAATACAAATGGTGTCAAGGAGACAACGCAGGACTGAAGGTCTTAATGGGAAGTTACAGTGCTCCTGTCAGAAGTCACAAGGAATTTTCTCCCCTCAGAGCTAACCCACCAATGGCAACATCCCTATTTTAGGTCTTACTGAAGTCGCCCTTCAAGTGCTCACTCTTCCTCAGTTACACTTGGGAAGCTGTGTACTCAGATTTTTTTTTGCTACCACAAACTGTTTACCTCACTTTTATTTAAATAAGCAACCAAATAAATTACTTGGGACAGAGAATGAAAAAAAAGACCCTAAAAAATGGTGCACTAAGATTGGCTTTCAGAGTCATTTTTGGTTCAGCCATCCCTATTTGTTGTTTTTTTTTGTTTTGTTTTGTTTTGCTTTTTTGTCATTTTGCTGGGGTTTTTTTGCACTCTCTTTCAATGAATGCTCAGAGTACACGATCTTTACTTACTTTTGGTTCTAAGAAGACACAGTATTAAATTACATTGATATTTCCCCAAATGAAAACATAGACTGCACACCTGATCACAGTATATGCAATCCTTGATGATTTGCTCAATTACCAGCCTAAATGCAGTTTTTGTACCACATGCATAATGTAATGAGACCATGTTGTCCCACTGTAATAAATAAATTCTGTTCTATATTACCAGGGCCATTTATTTTAGCAGAATATTTGCATAACATGATGTTATATCCAGTAAAGAACAACTATACCTTATAAGGCAGCAGAAATTGGCTTTGTCAGAAAAATTCCTTTGCTGAGAATGTCTGGTGCAGTTTTCTGTTATGTTAGTGGGCTGAGATGGCTCACTGAAATGTTAGAAAAATATCAAAGTTATAATACAATTAACATTTTCAATAACAGTCACCCAATGTATTAGCGTCTGTGTTTAGTATTGGTGAGCACCCAGGGAATTGCAAGAGTCAGTATAACTCCATAAAACCTCACTGGTGTAACCCAATGGTTACGCTCAATAGTCTCTGTTCGCTTTTATAAATTCAATGAATATCTAACATACTTCCAATATAAGCCCTTACAAGTCTAGAATGGGGTGGACTTATATAATTAAACAATTCTTTATAAATCCATTTTCAGATGTTCACAACAAGTTACTTACAGATATCCAAATAGGAAGTATTATGGAAAACACACAGGCATTTCTATGGGATGCTCATAGATATTTCAAACAAAAAAGGGTAACAGCGAGTATGCCCAGTGAATGACTTATTTGATAGTTAATTTTTGTTCAATGTCTCTCACAAATCATAAAGACTTTGTTGGATAATTTTCATAAGGAGAATGAATTACTGGAATGACATAGTCCTTCCATGACATTTTCTAATATACTTCTCTGTCAAACTGTGAAGTTAAGTGTTTTCATTGTTAAGCTAAAGAGGCTTAGCATTAAAAACTTATGGAAATGGCCTTAATACTGAGATTTACTTCTAGAATACTTTTGAAATGCAGTATCCCCAGGTATTTTATAAAAAAAGATATACTCAATTTCCAGTAGGTTTTGCTGAGTTTTTTTAATCTGTATTCATAATCCAGAATGTGCCATTATAAATAATGAATCAATTGGCATTTGCAATGCCCACAAAACAGCTGTACATCAAAATTTACCGCTGGCCTGATTATGCATCTCTGAAGTGGCTGAGAACTTTACTTCTAGCTTCTGTCAGAAATTTATTGAGCACAGGGAACCAATCTTCAAAATGGACCATGGGTCTGCACATACAGGTACATACGTTAGTAATGTGACCAAGGCGATGCAACGAGTTTGCTGTCTGGTACTTAAATGAAAATGTAATTTTTAAAGGTATATTTTAATTCTGTCATTATAAAAATATAATAATAAATATCAGGGAAGTATGTTGAGGATTAGTTTCGGTTTGAAACCACTTTATGACCTCAGATCATCCTTCCCCAGTCCTTGTCACCCCGGGGCAATAAGATGTTATCTGTGTGGTACTGTTGCCCCCTGCTGCTGGAACGGATGGTTTCCATAGGCCTTTTTTTTCAGGGCCTTTATATTCAGTATGAACATTGATCACACATCTGTTTTGCCCTGACCCATTTGCAATTGGTGAAATGCAGCTGAATTTAGCAAAGCACAGCTATCAAATTACCATGAGCGAATAAACATCAATGAAATGGTCTATATCAAATCTTACCTCTTTCAAATCTGTCTCTGATGCCTTCTCAGCCTTGTACATTGATTTAGACATTCTGCCTTTACACTCCAAGTGAATTTAAATATCCTATAAAATACAAATGGTTATTACAGTCTGGAATGAAAAGAAAAAGGAAAATCTGGTGGAAACCTTGAATGTATATGATTAGCTGATATGTGAGAGAACAACACATTTGAAAAAATGCTTTTGGACAGGCCAGCTACCCTAAAGGCCAGACAAAAGCCATGTTTACATTAGTTTATCCTCAATACTGCTGTACATCTTTGTGTAACAGCATATACAGTTGTAGGTTCAGAGATGCAAGGTCCTCAGCTGTCAGCTCCATGATAAGCTCTCTGTTATCAGCCGTCAGTGCCTAAACCAATCTTGAAGGAATTTTCACAAAGAAGATAACAAACCTGAAAAATACGAGAGCGGCCAGCATCCAGTTTATTGCCATTCTACCCACTGTTATACCATTTTCTTACATTAGACTCTGTCATCTTACAGCGATCTCACAACCAATTCCTACCATGATGTCATCATTCTTTTTCAAACTTTTTAACCCTGTTTTTGCAAAATTCATAGAACTTCCTCTAAAGAAAACATTAGCATTGCATTAACCACATTATAAAATACTACATCCTGGCAAGCTGTAAAACACCTCATGTCATCTCTCATAGGATTCTTTACTACAAAATAAAGAAGTGGAAGTCTAAGATTTTGATTGTGGCTGTTTGATAGTCAAAAGATGCTGGATTTATATAAAAAAGAAGAAACAAAGATTCCTTTTTTACTCCTTATATAATATGGAAAATCTTGGAAAATTAAAGCCACGCCTAGGATGCAATTCTCTGTGTTATCTGCCAAAGCCTTGTCCTGGGCTACCTTATGAACTAACACTTAGATTTGACTTGCATTTACTTTAACTACAGTGAGATCTTAATAATGTCTCTATTGGTTATTATTGTCCAAAATCTTACACTCTGACTGTAAACAGAAGTAATTCTATGTTCTAAATGTTTCCACTTTCAAAAAACTCTGCTACTTTCATCACTTACTCAGCATCCGTTAATATACAAATATGGAATTTATAGTTAAGAGCATTGGAACCAAAACTACTGCAAAGGCATTGCACATTTCTTACAGTTATGCCCCTCATTTTGCTAGTTAGTCACATATTTAATGGCAGCAGGGATCTCTTCAGAATGGGTTTTGCTTATTTTGCTTTGTGCAAGGTACTGCATGATCATTATTCAGAGTTGTAAATAATTCCTAATTACATCTCAAGGGGTCCATTTTGTCTACCTAATTCTCGAAGAAAATATTCTCTTCTGTTTATACAAGCTTGAGACATATATTTAAGCTGTGATGGTACAAACGTTTACCTGCACAGAAACATCTCATAGTGGGATTGCTCCCATTTTCGCATGACTTACCAGCATGAGCACGCAGGGAACAAGGATGCAGGTATGAAGGCTTCTGTCTTTTACAAAAAAAAAGGAATCTAAACATAATTCTGCCTTGAGCATATAGTACTCACAACCAAGAACATGTGGTTAATGAACAAAAGCCTTTTACTTTTTTCCTTTAACTCAGGCTGTCACTATCTGCATGTTTACTTGATGCACAGATGCATCCCAGCTGCTAATTAAGCTTGAACGAATTAAGGTGAATTGAATCTTGCCTGAGCATCTGCTATTCTATTAACATGGCAAGTAATGAAAGGAAGATGACGCTACACCTTTAAAAAGGCCACTTATACTAAGAAGTACTTCTTGCAATACACTAACATAGATACTTTTTCTTAAAACAAATAACTTTTAAAAACAAACTGTGCCATAGTATGTATCAAAAGATTGATCTATGGTATAATCTCTGCAGTTCTCTTGGTAGATTCTCATTACATACAAAACTAGGAGTAAAGTTTTAAACTATATTCAAATAAGGAAGTACAAGATATCAAACAGTTGAGTTGCTTGATCAAGAGTGATGCACATATAGCTTCAGTACCTCTGTTTTTGGCCAGTATTATACACAATAAAAAATTCTAAGTAGTTCTAAGCCTTTTTTCCTAGAGAAAGGAAACAGGTTTTGGAGTATATCTGTGAAAAGTCTCGTTTGTTAACTCTTGGGTTTTCTTCAGTCTTCAAAGGTTCATCCTCATGATCTGAAGACACACTTGGTGATTTTTTTTAAGCAGAATGACATCCATCAAATAAGATAATGATCTAAATGGAAACAAAGAGAAGGAAAACCTTGATGGTGATACCCTGTCAAAGTGGGGAGTCATCCAGTGCACAATTTGGAACTTAAATACCTTTGCTGCATTTCTCTTTGTTCTAGAATTATCTAGATCTATGCCTGAGCATGGGAAGAACTTATAATTTATATCTAGGAAGAGGAAAACCGGATGATTCCTCATAATGTAGAGATACAGCAAAAGAGATATTGTGAATAATGCTGTAGAGATATAGACAGAGTGGTACCAAAGTAGAAAAGACTGTCACATTGCCTTTCTGGGAATAATCCCTATATTGAGTCCAATAACAGTACTGAGGCTCTTCTTGTGCATTAAATAAATACCTATTTTGTGATACTTTTATATTATGCGACCAAAGGAATGTAAAACTAAGCAAAACATAAAACGGTATGCAGGACAAGATGTTTGGTTAGGTCTACCTGTGCTGAATACACAGTTACAGCTTAAAGAGCTTAAGAGTTTTGCTCCCTGTAAAACTACAGTTAATATAGTATGAAAGAAAAACCACAGTATTAAAAATAGTTACGAAAGGGAAGCAAAAAGTAAGTCATTTTGATCTTAGAGACACTTTTAGGTTATTATAGATGCAAAGAAGATCTCTTCATAAAAGAAGTATAAAAATGATTAAAACTCTGTGCCTTGAGAAGGTGCAGAGTCTGCTTTTACACAATTTGCAGTAAGTCTTTAGAGCGATAAAATCTTGAATATTAGATGTGCATCCCTTAGGGCTTTCATTTCATTTTTATACTGAAAAAAGGCTAATACAAGTTCATAGTAATCAAAAAATGGTGATAATTGCTACTACTAAAAGTCTCTGTAAAAAGTTTGTGCTGTCTTATCAAAAAGCAAGTGAAAATTAACCACAGCGAGTCCAAGTTAATAAATTTACTTATTGCACAAGAGACAATTGGAAAGTGAAGTTTACAAATGTAAATGTCTAAAATTTAGAAATGCAGCTCCTCAGCTGTAAACATGATAAATACAAGTTCTGTAAATGGTGCATTGTGGCTATTAAAACTAAGGCTGCACAATGGTAAAACTGCTGAAGAAATGTTTCTTGCTACATGACTTCCCATAGGAATATGCAGTTGAAGGAAAATTTAATGGACCTTCCAACCAATAATGAACGTTCTTTTGCTAAAGACAAATGAGAGTCACAGTACCATTTTCTGACTAAATATGATTAAATATCAATGCCAATGGGTTTAAAAAAAATTAAAAAAAAAGCAAAACAACAAAAGCAAACAAACAAAATGCCAAAAGTTATTGATCCAAAATTGGACAATTGTATTTTTTTTAAGAAAGCTCATAATGGTAAACTTAGCACCATTGAGAAGAGTAGTTAATAATAGGACTCTGGAGATCTTAATGATGCTTGGCTTGTTGTAGGCATTACCTGAAACACATTTAACTACTTGGATAAATTAATCTTCACCACTAGATTCTGCCTGAGTAAAATAAACCATAGAAATTTCTCCACAGTGAGAGAAATCACTCCACAGTGAGAAAATCTAAAATATAGACTATAGGACTTAATTTTTTAACCTACTTTGAATAAATCTGAATATTTCATCAAATCTAAATATTCTAAATTTTCCAATAGATAAAATTCAATAACAAGATAATTGTATTTCCTTTTGCACTGGCACATCGTGAGTTCAAATTAGCATGAAAAATAGTATCAAGTGGAAAATTATTCCTAAATTTATCGAGTCAAGGTTCAAAGTACTTTTCTTCATAATTCACTTTCAATGTGTATCCAGAAAAAAAAAAATCTGACATTTTCCAACTAAGAAATGAAGCATTCCTGAAAAAGTCTTAAATATCCTCTTTTGAGAACATTTGTGTTGAACACTTATCAGGGCAAAGATACCTAAAAGATGTGTGCAATAAAATAAAGACAACTCTGGAAGAAACGAGTAAGAGCCGAGGAACCTACAGAGAAATCTGCACAAGACTTAAGTAAGTCAGGAATAATTCTCATATTCCTTTTTAGAGTAATAGAATACAAAAACAGATGGCTGAGCCCTAGCCAAGACAAAGCCATATTGAAGCCATACCTAAACTGCCTAACTTGTTCTAAACACTTGCAGTAATTCACTTTTTACCAGCTCAGTCAATAGAAGTGCTTAAATATCCTGACCATAAGTCTGACAGCAGTTTTATCCTTTACTGAAATCTATACCAGTGTCTTCTAGAATCCAGCATAGAAGTAATAGCTTAGAGTAATTTTTGAAGAGCATTTAGAAAGGAGACCTCAGAGAAAGTCCATCTAGGATAGAATCATTCTACTTGGAAATAAAAATTGTTAGAAAGTTACTGTGCATTAAAAAAATTACAGCAAAAATAAAAAGCAGCTGCTGCAGGGAATGAATTTAGCAATGGGGAAACTAAAGCATTTGTTTTCACGTTTTTCAGGATTATGGGTAAAGATGGGATCTTCAGAGCTGCTGGAATCTTTTTGATACCTTCAAGTACTGAGCCTCAGAGAGACAGTCTGGGCACGAGAGATGTCCATACATATTTGGAAGTAGCAATTATTTTCCAGAGCTTTCTACATAGATCATAACAAGATATAATATAGAAATAAAGAACGAAATGTATAAAGATGCTAATTTAAGCAGAACAAACTTTAGAATAATGTATAAGGACTCTGGCATGTCCAACTCTGGGCAGCATGCAGTGTGGCACAGCTGGCAATGGGGCCCAACCCTGACCTGCACCACCTGCCCCCCGCTGTCCCTGTGGCTCTGTCCTGCTGAGCTGCCCTGCCCAGCTGCCAGATCACACACCCATCACTCACCTGCAGCCAAACATTTGTGTGCTATCAGTGCTGTCTGAGCTGAAACCAGGGCACGGGGAGGGCGCAGTGCAGTGCTAACTCAAGTGATAGCAAATAATTTTGTGCATTTCTATTCAGTGGCTAAACACAACCCTGTAAATTGTGAAAAACACGTAGTCATGTTTTCCATTTTGATAAAGGAATTTGAGAACAGGTTTCAAAATTGCTGAATTTTTTTTTTTTATTATTATTTTTTTTGTGTGTGTGTGTGTCTATTTGCAACTCCATTTTCTGTTGGCATAAATACATGACTTGGAAATTTTCAAATGGAGTGTGAATCAGACATTCAACTTAAAAATCTGACCACGTCACTCATAAGCCCATCTCACCAGAGAAAAACATTCTTCACAATCATGCTTTATTCTTGTCATCACTTTTTGGCAGTACCTACATTTGTGAACAACTATTTTCAAGGATGAAGTATTGGAAAAGTAAAATTTCATCAAAAATCTCTGACAAACACCTTGAGAACCCACTAAGAATTGCAGCCACTGCCAATGAACCAGCCTAATACATCAGCTTCACAAAAACAAGATCAAATATCCTGCTAGTTCTGTGCTTTTGTTGCTCTCTTTTTTAACAATAAAAAATATTAAAAATTAAAATATGTTCTGTTACTTATATACATGAATTATATATTTTATGAGGGCTGCTCTGAAAGTCATGCCTGCCACTTTAAAGCATGGTTTCAGAGAAAGATGTTGATGGTATGCTGGTAGAGCTTGAACCTTTCCACCAACATGCCATTAAATTTTGTTGCTACACAACAGATGACAGCAGAGGGGCAGTTCCCTAGCACATTTTGAGGCCTTCTAAAAGTTTGTAAAGCATTTTAATATCCTTCAATGAAAGCTCATGCATTTAGGCAACAAATCACCGTTAAATATCACCACCAGTTCCAAGACTCTAGGCAGCCCTCTATTCTCATCAGTCATATTCAGCAACAGGATTTTAACGTGTCCACTTCCTGTTTAACTCCAGGGAAAAGTCTACTTGGCACCACTATACTGCTGTGTTGAAGTCTGTTGTCAGAGCCCTTTCATCACTAGTGACAGCTGGAGTGGCAAGGTTGTGACTCCTTTGGACAATCCTGCTTATGCTACTAACTGAGTGAAGCACCAGCATGAACCTTCCAGACTTTCACCCAGTGGCACTACAGAGAGCTCAGTTGTCAAAGTGTTGTCAGTTCTGGAGCTATCAATCTTTGCTGGAGAAAAGATGCAGAAGGCAAACAAAGAGAGAAGAGAATCATTTCATTGTCTCTCCTTCCTATTTATGCTCTGTCAGGTTTTACCTGGAGGTGAAAGAGAGAAAAAGGACTAGGCACATCTTCCTTCCATTTATACACTGGATTGTACAACTGCTGTTTAATTTAGTTCACTTAGGAGTCCTTTTTTCCCTACATCCCATAAAGGCTGGGCCTGAAGTAAATGTGTTCACTCTCACTTGTGACTGATCTTAAGTTTAGACAAAGTTTCAGTT